ATGACATAAGTTTTCTAAGACCTCAGGTACTCTAACTCAACCATCATCAAAGGTATCAGCCACACTTAGCAATATACAAGCAAACAACTATAATTGGAATCTGTCAATTTCTGGACATGCAAACAGCAGCTACAAGATTTAGCTATAACTAGAGTTACACAAATCCAAATGACTTACAAGAAGACATTTTGGAAAGATTATGAAATTATCTACATTTCATCTGTAACCATCATAGCATGATTCACAAGTTAAGTAGGTCGAAATTATATATTTATAGAAACTGGTCCACAATTGACAGAGAGCAGCTATTTCTGAAACCCAACTTTAAACATGCATAACTCACAAACTACTTGGCCAAATGACACCAAATTTTAACAGAAGCTATATACATGAATTATCTACAACTTTTATATAAACAAGTTTCACAACAAAGCACATTATCATGAAGAACTTTGCTAAGTTCCCAGATCTGTCCAGAAACCACATTTGCAAGAAAATAAATATTAACTTATGTTGTAAACACATAATTAGGCAAAACCAACTTTACCAACATGTCACACATGACTAAAGAACACCAGAAAACCTAGTGTCCATGACCAAATAAATTCTTTTAATGCATTTCTTAATTTATTTTAGATAACAAGGTGACTTAATGAACATATACCAAAAGTATACAATAAATTCTACAAAAATTACAGTGGCTCACATATCCTCCCAATAGTCTACTGTACAAATTTCACTCCATTTGAATATGTATAGCAACCTCTATGAAAAAGACAAGTTGCTAAAGCAAGAAATCATGTGAGAGCAAGATAAACCAATAACTCACTCATGCAGCAACCAATACTCATGAAATTTTTACCACACATCAACTATCACATGAGTAGCATGCCACAAAAATTTCACTTCATTTGGAGCCCTAGATCTACAGTTATGGAAAATAACAAATTCAACTAGCATTACAACCTTACTGCACAAATCTATTTTTACCGCAAAATATTGAAACTAAAACATGCCATATTATAGATCTGATGCATAGATAATTTCACAAGGATTCCAAAAAGTCCTCATTTGCTATTTTACGAATTTCCTATGAATTACTATGAATTTTCAAAGATTCAGCAAATTTACTGCAAATAGGTCCTTATAGGTACTATTCATTTGAGTCACTGACTTCGCAGTTAGACCCCTCGCTTTCTTCAAATTCTTGCGCGAGGTCCCTGGTTGCAGTTGAGAACAGAGGAGGCCGGGGAATCGGCCGGTGGTGGTGGGAGAAAGGGCGCGGCGGTGGTGGTGGAGTGGAGTGGGAGAGATCCGAGGGCACGCACCCATAGGGCTACCAGCTCGGCTGAGGCGGCTTGTGGCATGCTGACCTGGCAGCATGGCCAATGCGGGCGACGTCCGTGGCTCCGAGGACGAACAGCACATGCGAGGGAGGGAGGTGGCTAAGGGGTTCGACGTGCACGGCAGGTGAAGGCAAGGGCGTTGAGGCTCTTGGCTCGTGCCACAGACGAGCGGAGGGTGGTGGCCGCGGAGCTCGGTGGCGGCGTCCATGGCGGCCGCGCTCTGACGTGCGTGTCGCGGAGGAAGAGTGCCAGGGTGAGCGGAAGCGAGTGAGGGAGGCAAGGAGACACACAGGCGCTCGGTTTTGGAGCAGCAGGGCGAGAGACGGCGCGTGGCATGGAGGTTGGACGCGCGTCGGCCATGTCGGGCGCGCTCCGGTGCATGGCGGCCACGACGTCATTTCGTCAAACACGTGGTGGGCAACGGTATGGTCGACGTGTGGAGTCAATTTGGGCTGCTTCCAGGCTGAATTTAGCAATGGGCCCAAAACGAAGTTTGCTCACCTTGGTCAGCTCTACATTTCTTATTACGGGTGCCAAGTCATTTGAGCTATGGATTAGTAGGTAATTCAGCTACAAACTGCTAGTGTCAACACATTGATAACGGTCACGGAAATTCACTTTCGGTGGTCAAAACTCGGTCAAACTCAGTGCAACTTTTTGTATGCTCTTCTCCATAATATAACCTTCAACTTTTATTTTTGGACCAACTCAAGTTGCTTAGCAAAATTTAGAGAACGCGGAATGTCAACGTCGTTGCTTAGCGAAACTGACTTAGAATAATTTTAAGTGTTGAAAACCACAGCAAATTAGATCTTGTGACCTCGATTTGACTTATTTACAAGCTGATATAGCTCTTGATCATTGAACAAAGTTTGTTCTACATAAGATGGACTCCAACTTTTATTTAGGTTCCACTGCCATGCAAACACTCTAAGTTGTAGTTCAAACGAAGTCAAAGTAGCATCACTATAAAGCTTAAATCATCCTTTTTTATCTATTGGAGCATTTTCTGGCCACCTGCTCAACATGAACCCTTCATAACTTTTGTTCATGAGTATAAGTAGAGTTGTTTGAGCAAGGTTGCAATGTTTGGTTGATGACCTACATTTCCATTCACTTAATAGTGCAATTTAAGCACTTAGTAAAGTCATTCCAATAAGGATATAACTTATCATTTCATGTGACTTTTTTATTCCAAACTTCATGAAACTTTTCCAGTGATCCATGTGGGTGGAAATTGATGTGAGGCACATGAAAGGAGCACCTTCAACATTACTTAGGTATATATATCCGAAAAGAGCCAATATGCAAGCAAAGGTGTGTTGCCCAAGTTGAAGTTGAAGCTCACTCTTGTAGATTTGATCTTGACACCTTCTTCACCACTTAACATGCCATGTTTGAGCTTAAACCCATTGCTTAATTGGTGACAAACACCTGGGGTGTTACAGTGTCGGTTGGAGCTGTAGTCGCACCTTTGACTGTCTGGATGGATTAACGTATAACGACCATTACCCCCTCCTCTTCGGGTACCCTAGTATTGGTCCCCGACAATAAGTCATTTCAATGATCTTGAGAGTCAAAGCATTTCAAGTTTGACCAAAATTATAGAGAGAATTATAAAGATTTGTGACATCAAATTGATAATACTATGAAAATATAATTAATAAAGAATCTAAAGATATTTAGTTAGTATCATGAATATTATTATCTTATCATATAAATTTGGTCAAACTTGGCATGCTTTGACTCTCCAAGATTCTTTGAATAACTTATAATTTGGAAAGGAGGGAGTATGATTTATACCTTGCATGATTTCTCAAAATTTATAGTTGATCAAATGTTACACTTGCGAGTACCTTAACTCAGCATTCCTATCTATTTCCCTTTCATTTTTTGCGTGGGGCTTTAAAAAGTTATATAATCTAGTATGATCTCGGTTTGAAGAAGGATTAAGCAACTCCTGAAAATGTCATGGGCCGTCATGACTAAAGCAGCCCATCTTAGCATGTTCACTTTGATACTGGCCCGGTTCTAAAGAAAAACATAGATACTGGCCAGGTGATTTTTTTTTTCTGAACATGGCCCAGGTGATTTTTAATTGACTTTAAAAAAGAACTCCAAGACATGTTGCGCTTCATTAGGCCGGGCCAATGGCCATTTTTTTATTTTAAACACTTTTTTAAACTAATTTTAAATCTCTAGCAGGATTTGTGCTACTATTTCAAGTAGAGATGGAACCGATTACTCTTGTCAAACGTCAGTTCACGATTGGGTAATCATAAATACGCTTGGGAGTGTCTAGGCAGCACTCGAGTGCTTTAGATGCTCCTGGCGCTCGAGTGAGAGACGGCTCAGAAACACTCGATTGGTTAAAAACGGGTCAGATGGCACAATCGAGTGTTTCAAGGCCACCAAACACTCGATTCTCGTGACCACAGGATTCAGATGAAATGATCAAAATTAATGTAAACAGATAGAACATATAAAATAAAAAATTTACCTAGATTATTTCTATGGAAGCCAAATCGAAAGATTTCAAAGGGAACCAAATAATACAAAAAGATCAGCCAGATTATTTTTATGGAAGACAAATTGAAAAATTGCAAAGGAAACCAAATAAAACATACAGAAAATAAAAAAAGCCAAAAAATAATCAAATAACGGTTATCATTCTCATTTACGAATAGTCAATTTACATTAATTAAACATAGAACTTTCAGCTAAACAAAAGTAGTAAAATATGCCCCACTAAAATATAATTTGTTCGTACTAAAGAATAAATCAGCATGCATGCATGGCTATAGGGGCTAGGGGCAAGATATGACCGGTTAGCATCGTCACCTACACCTGACCAAAGCCTCCACCTCCACCGAAGCCTACACCATGCACCTGCACCATCCACCTGACGCCTGCACACCTGGCACCTATCGCACATGCAGTGAATGGACGCACGCGGCCACGCCCAGGAAACTCCGGTCCCCGTAGGCCATCGCCAGGTCTGACCGCGACCACCCAGGGGCTTGCGACCGCTTGCTGCGCGCCGTTGACGCCAAAGATCGGACAGTCACAGGATCGAGTGAGCGGAGTGCCTAAAACACTCGAGCTCGGCGTAGCTTTTTGTCACCAAAGATAGGATCTACTTATGCTCTTGATCTGCGGGCAACGCTGCTGGATCCTCACTAGCTTTCGCTAATACCCGCATTGACATGTATATAGCCCTTTGCAATATGATAAAGCTCAATATAATGCTAAGATCATATGCAGCTCCTTTACCTGCACGTAGCTAAATTTAGCGTGTGTATGAAATCGTGCAGGAGAGAGGTGAACAGCCAAGCCAAGTGATCTGTCAATCACTGCCCGCGCGTTGCTTCGTCATCAGGAGCTCAAACACATTCAAGTTAGCGCCGGTTTCCTCCTGCGGCCGTCCAGATTTCTCGATGCTCCCCGCACCACCACCTCCACCCATCCAAGAAAAGCAAGGCAAGGAAAAACAGCGAGAAAAAGAAAGAAAATTTACGGAGGGAAACCGAAAAGGGCACGAGCACATTACGCCGCGGCCGTCTTGTCGCCAAGGCGAGGCGCATTCCGTGCCTCCACGCTGCCTGCAAGCTCGGGGCCTGCCCTGCCGCCGGACGGACATTCGTTTGCCCCACCATGCCTATGTGAGAGGCGGAACCCGGCCGCGCTGCCCCCCTCCCGCTTCCCCACCTGCCGATCGATGAGCGCTTGATCGAGATGCCATTCTTCCGGCTCGGCTCCTAGACACTCTCCCGGAACGACGACGACACCGCCGAGCGCGCGGCGGCCCTGTGATGCCGCGCGCCCTCATGGCGTCAACCGAGCATCTGGCCTCGTCCCCCGCGGGAGGGCCGCCGGGGCCGAAGGCACGGGCACCACCGCCGCAGTCGTCGTCGCCACCACCCCCACCGAAGGCTTCCTCGTCGTCTCCCCCGCCGCCGCCTCAGCACTCACCGCCGCCGCCACCGTCGAAGCAGTCCCCACCTCCTCCGGCACCTTCGTCGAAGACACCAGCGACTCCACCGGAGAAGTCGCCGATGGCGTCCCCGCCTCCTCCGGCCTCGCCGCCGCCAGCAAGCAAGTCCCCTCCTCCTTCCCCGTCGACGCCGCCCCCGTCGCCACCTCCGCGTTCTTCGCCGCCGCCGCCCGCGTCATCGACGACGCCACCATCGTCGACGTCGCAGCAATCGCCTCCGGGACCGGAATCTACCAAGCCACCGCAGCCCTCGTCGTCAGAGAAGCCGCCCGGAGCAGCCTCACCTCCCCCAAATGCGACGTCAGGCTCCGGATCAAAATCACAGCCGCCACCGCGCGAGACACCATCGACGCCCCCAGACACCACCGCCGGTCGTCAGCCACCTCCCGCGTCGTCGGGGACACCGTCCTCGCCCACGCAAATGCTGCCTCCTCCGATGGCGGTGACGGTGATCATGCCGGGTGCCTCCGCCCCACCTGCAGGCGGCAGGTGGAGGGGCCCGCCTGGCCCCGCCGCTACCGCCCCGCCATTGAGTCCCCCCGCGGGTGGCGTCTCCGGCAGCAGCAGCATGAACAACGAGGCGATCATCATCGGGATCTCCGTTGCCGGGCTCCTCCTGTCACTGGCCTCGCTGTTGATAATGATGTGCGTCAACAGCAAGCGGGGGAAGAGGAAGCGGCACGCGCAACCGTCGCCGTCGCGCAGGCACAACATCGTCGTGCCGGAACGTCAGTGCCCGCCCCGCCTCGGAACGTCCTGTTTGCGTTGCTCTTGCCACCACCATGCATGCAGTATGTAACCCTGCGCTTTTGTCTGTCACGTACGTGCAGCCGTGGCTTCGGTCTCGCCGGACGTGTACCAGCCGTCGAACGGCGGTCCCCCCGCGCCGTCGCCGAGCGGGACGAACTCGTACGACCTGTCGGGGACCAAGTCGTGGTTCACGTACGACGAGCTGGTGGGCATCACGGGCGGGTTCTCGGCGGGGAACGTGATCGGCGAGGGCGGGTTCGGGAAGGTGTACATGGGCGCGCTGGGCGACGGGCGGCGCGTGGCGGTGAAGCAGCTCAAGGTGGGCAGCGCCCAGGGGGAGAAGGAGTTCCGCGCGGAGGTGGACATCATCAGCCGCATCCACCACCGCCACCTCGTCACGCTCGTCGGCTACTGCGTCACCGAGAACCACCGCCTCCTCGTCTACGAGTTCGTGGCCAACAACACGCTCGAGCATCACCTGCACGGTGAGTGAGCACATTATTCACATGCATTGATCAGCTTTCTCTTGCATTGCATTGGCGGACATGCGTATGCATGAATGTGCGTGAATGTTGGATTATACTGTACACATGTATATCGATCTGCAGGAAAAGGGCTACCCGTGATGGATTGGCCGAAGCGGACGAAGATTGCGATCGGAGCGGCGCGTGGGTTGACGTACCTCCACGAAGACTGTAAGTCCCCATCTTGCGATTCTCCTGTCCTGGGTAGCTAGCTTGCTTGTCAGTCCGGCTAATTAAGAGCTGCTCTTGTACGTACATGCAGGCCATCCTAGGATCATACACAGGGACATCAAGTCGGCCAACATTCTCCTGGACGACGCCTTCGAGGCCAAGGTTAATTTGCAGCACAGGATGTACTAATGCACTACCCAAACGCTTGATTTCTGTACTTACTGGCGATAATCTGGGGAACAGGTTGCAGATTTCGGCCTTGCTAAACTGACAAACGACTCGCTGACTCATATCTCGACGCGCGTGATGGGCACGTTCGGGTAAGCAGCGTTCAGAGTACAGCCGATCTGTCAAAATTCAGCAAAATTTGGAGGGGATACCAGTCACATTGCTCGATCCACAGGTACATGGCGCCCGAGTACGCACAAAGCGGGAAGCTGACCGACAGATCCGACGTGTTCTCCTTCGGGGTGGTGCTCCTGGAGCTCATCACCGGGCGGAAGCCCGTCGACGCATCTCAACCGCTGGGAGAAGAGAGCCTGGTTGAATGGGTACGCGAATCCTCCTCCTTTGTATCATCGTGCTACTAGCTACAACAGCCTACGGGGTCGATCGCTGACTGTTGATCACGTACGCTGCGTGAACCCCCGGGCGGACCCCATGCATGCAGGCTCGGCTTCTCCTCGTGGACGCCTTGGAGACGGACGACTTCCGAGAGGTCGCCGACCCTGCGCTGGAGTGCAGGTTCTCCAAGACCGAGATGCGGAGGATGGTGGAGGCGGCCGCCGCTTGCGTGCGCCACTCCGCCGCCAAGAGACCCAGGATGGTGCAGGTAAATAACGAGCACACACTCTGGACCAAACACACGTACTGCCAATGCAGGACACACCGAGGATGAATGATGCAAGGAACTAGCTACCTAACTCTTGATCGCTGCTGTCTATCTCTTCCCTCTATATGTCGATCGGAAGGTGTGGCGATCGCTGGACGTGGACGACTGCTCGTCGGACCTGACCAACGGCGTGAAGCTCGGGCAGAGCATGGCGTACGACTCGGGCCGGTACTCGGCGGACATCGAGCTGTTCCGGCGAATGGCGTTCGCCAACGACCTCTCCACCGCCGAGTTGGGCGTCTTGGACGAGGACGACCACCACAGCAGCAAAGCCGGTTCCAGTTCCAGCCGGCACAAGTAATTCAAACGACACGTCATACACCTACATGCGTGCGTGCGTGAACCATGTGATGTGCTGCGTGTACGTCGGGGGCAGCTCGATCGAATCGCAAGGACCAAACCGTGCCCGCACGCCAGTCGCCACGGCGGCTGCACGGGGGACGTAGTAGCGGAGGATCGCAGAGGAGAAGCTGACGTGATCGTGAGGCAGGCGTGTCTGTGTACGTTGCTATTCCCTGCTGTTGTTTTTGTGTGTACAGCCGTGCATTCTTGTCGCTTATAAGAAAAGAAAACCGCTTGGCATACGGTACAACACGTCCATCTGTTAGCCTGCACATGAGCAGCACCTCAAGGCGGTGAGCCAGTGACATAAGGTGTTCAGGTGGGAGCCGGCCGGACGTATAATGGCTGTCTGTTAATGCTCGCCGGTCTTTTGACGAGACCGAATGTTGTACAGTAATTTGAAAATTGTAGGACCAGTCAAACCGATTTGACGCTAGCTTTGACTAAACTGGCCAGCAGTGAACTTTGACTTATTTTTTATAACGAACTTCCACTTATTTTCATGCTACCCGTCTAGGCAGGAACATATGCACTGACATTCCTAATGGCCAAGACGAGATGGACGACACTATAATAAAACAAATTTAGAAGACAGCTTCTCTAATTAACAGAGGTGGATACATCTAGAGACCGGCTCCTTACCTGGTTAGACAGCCTCTCGGAAAATGTCCGTGTCTGTAAATCATATGCAGATGCGGGCATTCTAAAGTGACCCTAAAATTCGATTTTTAGAGAAGGGCACGTTAAGATGTTTGTCTTCGTTAATCGATTTTCACAAAACGGTCATTCCATCCACCTTTGTTATTTAATTAACAGTGACCACAAAACACATCAAACTATAGTTGAATTTGTGCAACATTTCAAAAAAATAGAGTTGAATTTGTGCATGCAGGGATTAGAGCCTTCAAGATAATACAAACTATGAAGAACAGCTGACAAAACATGACTTCGAATATATATAATTAAGAATGGACACTCGCAGCAAATTATGTTCATTGATAAGATTGATGTTGTCGCTTATAAGTTGTAGCTGCCTTCTACAACTTCCACTCATCTTGTTTTTCGTGTGTCTCAGCTCGAAAAGGCCATCCTCGATACTCACCTGGTGACTTCATACATTCCCTCCAATGTTTTTGAGACTTGCCACCAGTGGTCCGGCATGCCACCATCGCTCACCACTTGTGGGAGAAGTTAAATCTGTTAGGTTTATCTTCACAGGTCAATTGGGACCTTGATCCGTGCCCTGATCGGGGGCGCTCAGCCTTTCTACTGGCTAATAAGCCCCTGTCGCGCAGCGCAATAAATAGGAGGTGGGAGCTGGGGCTCGAAATACAAGGTTCACCACAGCCGCTAGCCCATCACCGATGTCCTATCCTGTAACACCTCTGGTGTTACGAGCTCGCTAAGCACTGAGATTATGGCCTGAGAAGTAGATCTATTAATATAGTGAGTTAGTTTACTTAAATGCGCTAATGAAAATCCTAACAAGAAAATAGGAAAAGTACTTTTAATTGTGTGGCACGAAAAGTAATTTCTATAAACAAGAATAAAACATAACTTGTATTTAGTACTTAAATAAAAATTAAAGTGTAAGTTTAGTAGAGGAAAATGCAACTTTTGTTTTGGTGAGTAGAAATTGTTCAATAGTTTATTTGATAGTTCAGAAATTGAATCCGAAATTAAACTAGGATTTGTCATAAATTGGCAGGAAGTTGAAATTATAGTTAGAATACTATTTTGACAAATTATATTGAGCAAAGTAGTTAAAGTGCGCTTAAGTATTTCGCTCCTATGGGTTAATATGCAGTATGGGTTATGTCGTGATGTGCTTGTTAGTTGAAATCGACAAGGTTTAGATCTTTTAAAAATTAAGGCAAATGCGCTTGTGGATGTTAGTTCAAAACTAAAATATATGATTTTCTAAGTATGGAAAGGTGGTAGACAATGCAATCTTGACATTTGATTTCTAACAGAAACGTTTAGACACTAGCCACATGTTTCGGTATGGTTGATTGCATCTAAGTGAGCATTTGAGAATGGTATAGGTCGTAGCGGTGTTGGGTGTTACGTTGCTCTCTTAAAAATTGCTCGAACTTCGTAAGAACGCGCTGTGAACTATGTGGTTGGTGCTCTGTTCGCGAACCGACGTTTCCGCGACGAACTGATCTTGGCACTCGTTGATCTTCCTCCTCAGCGGCTCGTTGATCATAACCATGGTTTCGCTAGGAACTAGGTAGCGTGAACTATGGATGGGGTGAGCGGTTGAGCCTTAGGTGGGGTAATTAGTCGTTTTTGTTGAGCTTTAAAATTCATGTGTGTTGCCGTTTCGGCCGTTGGGCTTCCGTGGTCGCGGTCACCACGCGAGCATGGCACCGCGGCTGCCCGGCCGTGGCCGCTGCTCCGCTGGCCAACTTCACTAGTAGCTGGCCGCACATCGGGCCAGGGTGGGCCGCGTTCATCTCCGTGGGACCGGGCTGGGGTCGCCACCGGCGAAGCCATGAGCGAGCCGAGCCGACGCCGTGGCAGCCGCCGTCTAGCTGACGTGGCACTCGTTCCGCCACTCAAACCACCTACGCGCCGAGACGTTGCCTACTTTCGTAGTCACGTCGCACTTACGACCTGGTCGCGATGTCACTGCCCTCTCTCGCGTCGCGTTGTGCCTTGGCTCCGCACGGCAGCTTAGCGCGTGGCCTCTGTTTCGTTGCCGCCGATCGAGTCTGCCTGGACGAGCCGTCCCATCCCGGTACCTCACGACTGCTCCCTCCGAGTCGCGTCGCACGCACATCCTCACATATTTATCGCGGCCTCGGTCGGGGCTGTCCGAGCCACGTGTAGCCATCGTCGCCTGCCTTGTCACCATTCGAGCCACGCCATTTTCATGATTTCACACCATCCGTAGCCCGCCCTCCTCTTCAGCACTCCAGTAGATAGATATAGCAACCAGCTAGCAAGCCCTACCGGCTGGCAATTTGGTGCTTCGCTCACCGCGGGCCATGAGAGCCGCCATAGCCGGTAAGAGGTAGGTAAGGCCCGAGGGTTCAATTGCTTGCGATCCCGAACTAGGCTTGACGTCCCCTATTCAGTGCTTGTGTTATTATGGCTAGAGCGTTCGTTGATGGCGTGGTGACGCGTTGGTGTCTGCGGCGGAGCACCGCCGTCCCGCTCGGTCGCACGTGGCCAGATCGCCACCGTGTTTCCCTACTTCAATCTCCAGAGCATAGGACACCATGGTGAGCCACTGATACTCATCCACCTTTTGTACTCCGCTGAGCACGCGTAGTTTCGTCGGAATAGGTTCGCCGCCGACGCGGATCGCCGCCCACCGCGGCAGACCGTGACAGGGCATCGCTGAGTGCCCAACCGCCGCCCAGCGCTGCGGGTTTAGTCGTAGATGGTGGTCGATCCGTTAGTGCCGTCGCAGTAGGTCTAGCGCGTCCGGCGTAACCGCTATCATCGTCGATGTGCCGCGCCGCCACGCACGGGCGCGCCGAGGACCGCCTCTTTGCGAAGGCAACACATTCTAGGGACTTTAATACAAAATGTGAGTCTGCAATAATAGTGCTATGTTGCTCTACCTGATTATCCTAAAAACTAAGTCCTCTTTTGCAAAGTGCCGTGCGCGCTGGCTTCCCCTGCCTTGGGCCGTATTGGGCCGCCGCAACGCGCATGCGCCCACGCCCCGCGCTGGGCCGGCAGGCCAGATGGGTTAAGGTCGGCTCTTTTCTTTTTCCAAGTATTTGCTAATTTAGTTTCTAAGCCAAACTTGTAAATTCAATACCAATTTGTGTAGCTAACCAAAAATTGTGAAACTTATTTTGTTAGGTTTCTAAAATCATGATCTATCTTCTAGTGTATTTTATTCACATAGTTTCATAGAATTTTCAAGAGTAATCTAATTAATTCGAGATGCTTAATATTGTTAAAACATAAACTTGTAGGAATTGTTGTGATGAATGGGTAGTAGTGTTGGCTCTGAAATTTTTACAGTAGATTCCTAACATTATTAGGTGTTCACTGTAATTTTTGTAGCTCAATAGGGATTAGTTTGTTAAGGTAACTAAATGAGCCCTACTACAAAAATATATATTTAATCAATCAAATATCAAAATAATTGGGGGTTTATAGAACGAAAACATTTTCCGGAAACGAGCCTCACTTGACAACGTGGATATATGACTTAGTAAGTTAGTCATTAGAGCTAGCTCATTAGGGCTTGCGAGACGTAATCGTATTTTAGAGTTGCGGTTGCCGTGGATTATTTACGTCCCTGCGTTGCATCCACGTATTTCATGATAAGAGCGATGTTGGATTGCGGAGTCGTCTGGAGTAGCGGAAGCAGATGGTGACTTGATGATCGTGCCACCATGATGAAAAGCTAACTTGATTATATTTTACCCAGGCAAGCCCGGTGCATAACCCATATTATTCTACACTTTATTTTATGCTTGTGCATTAAGTTTTAAGGAGTTAAATGAAAACCTTGCATATATGTGTGTGTATATATATATAATATATATATGTTAGGATCGTGTAGATTGCTATGCTATAGGATCCGGTACAAGTTGAGTGATTGCCAGTCACTCGTGAGAGATAGGAAAGATATTACTGATGTTAATATATTACTATCACATGGAATATATATGAATGATAATTGGAGCCCGGGCGGAATGATACTTTGGATCTGGACTTGGTTTGACATTCGAGCGAGGCTCAGATTGCACTTGTTTCGCCTGTATCGGTTAAGGACCAGCCGTTGCATTAGATTCTAGTCAGGTTACAGACTTATTATCCTGAGCACATACTTGTTTATGGGAGCAGGGAAGGCTCGTTGCTCTTTTGTCATGGGTTATGGCTCTTTCTGGACCGACTGATTGGAGGCGGGGATGGTGCAGGTCTAAGCGCTACACTAAGTCCGGGACTCAAGAGTGGGGGCTTGTAGTCCAAGTTTGGACAGGGACCTGGACCCCTTGATAGGAGAGTGATAGGTTGGTCCTGCTTATGCCTGGGGTACAAGCGGAGCGTGTGTTTCGAAGTACCCAGCTAGGTACATTGATCCACGAATTGCCGAGAATCCGGTACGACTTGTCTACAATCTAGCACCGTAGTAAGAACTGGAATATGAAAGATGGAAAAATAGTTCTGATTGCTTACCACCTGCTTGAAAGTAGCACATGTGCTTACATAGAATGGTAGTTAATGAACTAATGATGACTGATAATGAAATTGAATATAAGGACGCACACTTAGTAATGTTTCCTGCAGATGCAATAACCCACAAGCCAGATAGCCTTGCATATCCTTGGAATCTTTTATTTTCTCTTGATGGGTAAGTCTTGCGGAGTACAATTGAGTACTCAGGGTTTGTTCTACCCTGTTGCAGGTGACAATAACATGTGGAGCTGACACTTGCTTGTGGAAACCTCCTGGTGGGCTTAGGATTTCCTTAACGTTGCGGACATAGAGTTTATTTGAAACTCCCACCCAAAATGTTTTTCAATGGAAAAACTTATAACCTGTTATGATGAATATAACGAATCATCATGTTAGGGTTTAACTTGTCATTAAATGATTTTATCTCCGCTGAAACTCTGATAACATGGTTATTTTCCGCTGTTATAAACAATAAATATTATACTTTGGTGTTGCATGGAAAGTGATGCAAGAAATGACTTAAGAATGTTGTAAGCTTTATTCTCTCATTTGTTATCCTGTTGAAAAATATGGATTTTCGGGTTCTTCCTTGGGGTGTACTCGACAGAACTGCGTAATTTAGTGCCCTCCCTTGAGTACTCCTGGGAAGTATTAGATTAGGCGGTTCTGCCACATATCCCTAGACCGATCGAGAGGGGCGCTGTAAGCGATGGGAAGCTCCATCGCCTTCATCGCCGCCACAGCACCTCGCCTGCACTGCTGCTACCTACGACGACCTAGCGGGCGCGTCACGGCTACCTCTACTCCGACCCGCTGTGGCTACTACGTCACCGGCGCCTCAGCCACGACACGGTTTAGTGAGGTACATCAGCAAGTCATCACATCTAAGTCAAGTTTTACCCACTAGATCTGCACATAGAGGTCCAGTAAATCCTATCAAAATCAACTAAAACAATTGTTTCCCTGGGCTGGGCGCCTACTCTGGAACATGCAAGTTGCTCAAGGGGGCATCAATACTGTTCCTCTAGCTACTACCGCACCATCGACATAGGTGACTAAAGGGCCAAAGACAGGGGGCGCGTGCAAAATGACCTAAGGTCAGTCTTAGTGGGAGTTTCATGAAAGTTTCATTTATATTTAATAGTATGTCACATATGCATTTTTATGACACGACAACGTCTGAATGAAGAGATAAGAAATGAGTTTCATGTGGCCGAAACTCTCTTAGTACGATTATCAACTTTCTGAGTCTTAGAATTAAATGTCTATGAAACTATGGAATAGAACTTTGCATTGAGAGGGGATGTTTTATCCAAGTTTCATTTCATTCTATATGACATGCATCCCCTCGTCTAAAATGGATTGATTCTTCGAAGCAAACACTCTCTAAAAGAGTTGGCAACAGGCGGAGGATGTGATGATGAATAGGAGGCAACAGAGGATGAGGGTGCAGGGATATGAACACTATTGTATCAACTATGAATTTTAAGACAATCCTTTCTCCCAAATTGCTGCTCGTTTTGCCCCCAAGTTCTTCCTCTCGATCCCCACTACGACTAACACTTATCTCGCGCGAGTCACTCCGGACCATATTGCTAAATTTTTTGTTTTTGACCCTTTTTTTGAAAGTTTTTCACAGATATGCCTATAGAGGTATGCTTTCAAAAAAATAGATCCTGGCCTCGCCTGTGACAATTGGTGACGAGGTCACACGTCTCAATGCCAGAGCAATTGGCACCGAGCTAGGGGGGCGGCATCAGCGTAGCGGTACAGGTGGCGAGGACGTGGCAGCCATCTCGACGCCGAGATCCCTGGCCCCCAGCCCCCCGCGAAACGGAGGACGGGGAGGCTCCGAGGTGGGCGAGGGGCTGGGGGTGACGAGGCGGCCAGGGGACGGCGAGCCGACGGGGAGGGCCTAGCACGGTGGCGGGCGGCCGGGGAAGGGAGCGGGGTCGCCGGTGGTGCAGGGGAGGCGGGCGGGCGCGCTGAGAAGGCAGGCGCCCACGGCGAGGAGGCAAGCGGGCAGCGGTGATGAGCGAGTGAGAGAGAAGGCGTCCAACTCGGGCAGACGAATGAGAGAAAGACTCTGCCCCAATAGTCAGTCGGCTCAACATCACCGAGCAGGCTGCCAGGTCACCGCCACGTCCATATCCACAATTGCTCCACTTCTCGTACCATGGCGTCGAGACGTGTAACCTCGACGCCAATTGTCACGGTGCCGAGATCAGAGTCTATTTTTTGAAAGCACATAACTCCAGGGACGTATCTGTGAAAAACTTTCAAAAAATGCAAAAAAAAATTCCCAATATTGCCTCTAGTAGCCTTACCCGTAACGTTTTGTCCGCCTGATCTGGATGGCGATGTTCCGTTGTGGCAAGCTTAAGGTCATGAGCCAAACAGAGCCTAATGTAAATGGAATCTTCAACTTGTGGGTTCAGGCAAAGATTTTTTCGAAATGCCAGCCGCATGGCAGCATGGCCAACTGAATCCAGTTCTGCACCGAATTCACTTTTGCAAGTAATCCTAGAGATAACTACAGCCATGACCACTGAGGCACTGACCACTTGACCAGTCATGTCTCCAGAAAAAAAAAAGTGATCAGTCAGCATTATGTACATGAATCATGATTGTTGATTGGCATTCCTAGCCCATGATTATCAGCAAATGGAGGTTGCAAATACAACACCAACTAGGTTAACAAAAGAGATACATGCACACTTCCGTCCATTGCAACAAACTACACCATGACCACATCCCGTTGGAGACCCCGTTGGAGACCATTACCATATCCCACTGAAGAGCAATGATATCCTTATTAACTTGAACAGCCAGAGATGCGATTTCCTGGAACACGCAAGTTGTAACCATATAAGCAGCGGTTGTATCAATGAACAGTGCATTTGTATTATGTAGCGTGCTTTTTGGCATGAGACAATTTAATACAACTTTGGTCTGCCTCATTTACCTTCTAGCATGCAATTAACATATCTGTGATCTCTAAAGGAAACAAGCAGCAGATTCTTTCAAATGCTATATCCACCTTGCAGCATATATGGTCTTCATATAGAGATGCACATTGATCAAATTTTGACATTCTTAATGGTATGACCATCTGGGAAAAGAAAACAACATGCAATCTGCAAGAAAAATGAACAAATTACATGCTACAGCATTATAATTGACAAACTGATAAATGTAGATCATCGCCGGTGGTACCTCATTTCATTTCAGTTCAGGGGCATATGGAGCAGGGCAAGGTGATACTGTGTGGTCTGGCAAGTTGTCTATAAACTCATTTGTGGCCTGTAGACAGGCATGGAGCATCTTCTTCTCTAACCTTACAAGCCTAGTGGCAACTTCCTTCTTTGGTTCCAAACTGCCATCTGCCAACTGGCAGTGACCAAAGCAATGGTATACCATTCAGCAAGTCCATCGAGTGATCAAGAAACAACTCATAAAAAACACAAAGCTCATTACCATAGCTTCATCTTCATCCAAAGTTGTTGGATAACCAGCCAACCGAGATTCCAGGTAACCAACAAGTTGATCAAGTACAGCTCGCTCTGTACATGGACTAAGCTAGAGAAGTACAGCAAATGTAAACAAAATGTTAAATCATAGATTAAAACATCATGCTGTTAGAATACTATGCTGAAATTTACATAGCATCTTTCTGTAGTTTTAAGAAAAATCATACCCCAGGTTATCAGCAGTTTTATACCCAAGCTAATGTCTACAGCAAGTAATGGCATGCAGGTACTCAAATATGAGCAATTTCAGTTGGATCACAACCCAAAATAAACTTGGCTACGATCCCAAACATAGGAAACTATGAATGGAATGCCTGAAGAAAATCTCTAATGCAACCAAATTCTCAAAATTGAATGCAACAAGGGTACATATTCTGCCTTCCGTTACAAGTCCATGCAAAAATTAACATTTCAGTGTAACTAGAGAATTGTCTTGCTCATCTAGCTAGCTTCAACCTATGGATTTTACATGCAATGATAGGGGACAAATAGGTGGCATGTTTTTAGTTTTAGGTCCAATCAAAAAGCCTGATGATAAAAAGTTCTGCAGTCATACAGAACCACCACAACAATTGAATCTAAATTAAATGGCTAGGTTTATGCCCAGAAACCACGAAACTGGACCATACAGAAGGAAAAAAAGGTCAAACAGGTACTAATCGCAATCCTAAAAAGGAAAAATGTTAAATAATTATCAGGGCAAGTGCTTTCGTGCATGTATGCATCATATTTTAGAAGCACCCAACCAAATCAATGAAGAAATAGGTAGCAACATCAAGGAAGAGTAGGCAGACTTACTGGACATGTATCTCCTTCAGAAGAGAGTATAGACTGCATTTCATCTGGATCTGATATGTATCCTAATCTCAAATAAGACAGCATTTCTGCAACAGTTTGTTTCTCTTTACCTACATAGACCTGATTCAACAAGGCATATGAATGTATAACATTTACAATCTTCGCTACAAAAGGAAGGGGGAAAAGTTCTCACATTAAAATTTTGGATAGCAAGCTTTCCATTCCTCTGAGCAACCATTCTCTTTTCTTGGTATTGAGGATCTTCTGTATTTAAAGATGCCTGTAACAGTGATTCAAACAGAGTTACATCAACCACACAGTAAAGAAGATTGCTGCATAATAAAGATTGTCTACCTCTATTGCTATGCGATCAAAGGGATTGTCTTCATCAACAAAACCATAATTCAGAACAAGCCTGGAATTTGTTTGGGGTCCACACCTGTATAATCTACATAATTTGAGGTTCTTGAACGTATGTACCAAAATAATGCACAAAAACTGCACTAAGTGATCAGCATCTCAGATTGCAAAATATGATGAGGAAGGACAAGAATGTTGATGCAACTGAAGAAAACATAGTACCAGATGATTATTGGTTCTCCGGCTTTATATGGCCGATCTACCACCAATCGAACAGAATCACCATCAGCTGTCAACATCGCTTTGCAGTTGCTCTTGTAAGTCAATAGTGGCGGCCCCAAGGGAACTAGCGCGAACCTTCGAGCTAAACTAACTTTCTGCTCTTGAATAAGAAGTATATTGGGAGCATTTCAGTACTTCTCCAACAACCAAACACTCAGCAGACTAAGCACTGTTGGTCTCACACAAAAGATGATAACATAGTAATACTTTCTTCTGTTAAAGGTTTAAGTCCTATAAATTTTTCTCCACATGTAGGTCGTTCTACCCTTTGCAGTGCATCAGATAACTTCTTCCTATCAGACACTAGTTACATGATTAAATACAATGACAAATTGACAACAGATGGCATCTTCCGAGGCTCCATTCTTCCAACACACATTGACATATGTAGAAGTAAAGCAGATAAATTTTGAAAACAAATGGGCACCGCCGCACCGGGTCATTGTGCACTGGACCATAATTTCTGGGGGCAAACTAAATGATCTATATTCACATTCTTTAGAATCTGGAAGTCTAAATAGAATATGTGCAAAAGAACTAAATCTACAGAATTCAGAGAAGCACATTTGATGGCAAAAAAAACATTGTCAGGTTTTTACAAGTGATGAGTATGGCGATGTTAAATACTTCAGCACTAAATTTCTCTACATTTCATGCTAACTGCAGAACAAATTATAAGCATCGAGTTTCACAAAGAAGGAAGAAATACAATGAATGTACAAGCAACAGATTGCAGAACCATACTTGTTTAAACATAAATCCATCACAACACATTACCTGCAAATGAACCACACAAGACTGTACTGCAACAAAAGCCTGCTTGAATATTTCAAATGGAAAAGCCTCAGTAGGTATGTCAAAAGGATATTGCTGCAAAACAATAATCACTGTGAGAAAGAGGATCAGTTGACGATATAGCCAATCCTAGAAAGAAAATATGCTTGGAGGATCAAGGAATACCTGAAATAGTGAACCTGCCATAAACCACAATGTGTCAAGCTCATTAAACTCTCTCCTTATTGCCTCATCTCTAGCAACAACTTCATCCTGCAAACATATCATCTACGTTAGGATATTAATGTTCTTACAGAATATTGAGTAATCCTTCAACATCAAAAAGAAATAATGTTATATTGAGAATTGAGATACAACAGAGTAAAACCAATAACCTTCAAGGGGCTTCCAGTAAGGTAATCCAGTTCACTTTCAGTCCATAGAAGTGGTGATTCAACAGCTAGCTGCCCCCTTCCTCGATGTCGGTCAAGTTCCTTAATGTAGGGGTACCAAAATGAATCCTTTCCTTGCTTTTTCTCATACATGAGATACAATGCCAAGCATGCCAGCTCAGATAACTTGTTGTTTGTTAACAACTCAGCTGCATGGTTCAAAAATATCAACAAACTGAGAAACATATCTGTGACATATAAATCAGTTACTTTTATCTTTGTGCAAATGGGCAAATGGCACAAAATTGTTGTGACACAGGTGGGTAATTGTTACCATTGAAGTAGTTATTCCCTTTAGGGATAAAAAGTTATAAAGAGAAATATCGTTAACATAAAGCACAGAGAACTACTGAACCAGAATTAGCAGTGGACTGCACACATCACACAAGCAAAATATACAACAAGCACAAATGCATTTACAAGGATGAAACAGAAATATCACATCAATTTTTGATGCATTCATGCTTCGACTACCTGTTATCTTGACTAATAACAAAACAACCTAACGAAAGATGCAGGCAACAAATGCAATGTCATGAAAAAAGCTATGAAAACCGAAACAGGAAAAAAAAGGTAAAGCTGTTTTGCATTTCTAGTAAGCTTCCAAGTTCCAAGTCAAGGTACAACATTTTGAAACATGATAGATGTTTCCACGAATGTCAAGTTACAGATAGGACCTAATGCCTCCTGCCCTCCTCTTCCTTATTTTGTGCAAGCACTGGAATCTGACCTAAAAGTGTGCATGCATGATGCCAGTGGCTGCAAACTAGAATGCTAAATAACACAAAGGCATGCCCAAAAGCTTGGACATAGTAATGCAAAACATGAAAATGGGACAAGCAGCCTATATTTTGGGGAAAGCCCTAAATGTCTAAATCAGTCCCTCTTATATCTTGGTTATTGTAAACATGCCTCTAAATGTTGAAAAATGCAAAAGACCCGTGTTCAGGACATCTACTCAAGAGTCAAGAGAGGAATGACCAGGCCACATAATCTTAGAGCAAAGTATGCTTGCCATTAACAGTTCAGTTATTGACTTATTCCGATACTAAATCAATTTATTATAGCCCAATGTACGTCCACGAAATGGAACTCCCCAATTCGGCAATTCATATGAGTGACACAACTGAATAATCAATACAACCACTGAACCACATATATAGATTACAAGAGCCAGAGGCTATCTCACCGATTGATTCGTCCCCGAGCACCCGCTCCAGCGTGACGACTAGGGACATTGGCACCTCGAACGCCACATCCCCCGCCTGCGCCACAAACGAGCCAGCCAACAAAATACAGGTCATGATCCGGTCATTACTGCAGGAAACAAAAATCTAAGTGCTGCCACACCAACCTGGAGGTCGACGCCGGCGGCGACGTAGCGCAGCGGCAGGTCCTTGCCGTCGCGCAAGCAGGGCACTGGCCGCTCCCGGATGTCCACTTTGCCCGGGGGACGGCCGCGCGCGCGCAGCCAGTCGACGAAGCAGTCGGTGGCAGATTCGGAGGAAGGCTCCACCGCGGGGGCCGGCGGTGCGCGGGCCTCCGATGATGAGGAGGGGAAGAGGATGTCGGCGTGGCAGGCGGCGAGGCGGAGGCGCGGACGAGGGCGCGGGCGGGGCCGGGGGAGGCGGCGCGGGGACGATGGGAGGAGGAGGCGGCCGTGGTGAGAGCCCGAGACCGCGGCGGCGGCGGCCGCGGGGGAGACGGAGGCCATGGGCGTTAGGGACCCGGACAATCGGGCGGGGAGAAGCGAGGCGACGACGGTTGGGACGGGTAGGGGAGTGACGGGCGGACGGCGAAGAGCGGCGGAGGTTTGGTGGTGTAGATGAGAGGAGTGCGATAATTGGACCAGGTGGACAGATATTATGCCGTAGGTTTCGTATCATTTCCGTCTCAAAATGTTTTTTATTTGGTTTTTTTTATTTGCGCTGAATGTTAATTATGCGTTCTTGGTAACATTTTTTTACCTTAAGCCATTCTCAACGATATTGATACATGGTTTTTTAAAATGCCACATAATCTTTACAGGTTTGGGCACTGTTTGAATGTAAAGTATTGTTATTGTTTTCGAAAATAATATGGTTTTACATCGCACATTCGCCCAACGGTCGCCTCACAGCCAACCTCCTCGATTCCACTGTCAAGCGCATCAGTCCATTATCACCCAAAATTTTTTAGGAATTCGAAAAAAAAAACATAGTGTTTCTTTTTTATAATACAAGCAAAAACCCTTTACACTTCATGGATGAGCTCGGACAGACGTCTGGGGTCACCGGAGCGGTGGCTCCGCCACTAAGACTCTTTTTTTCGGTGATGCCAAGGTCTATAACGACTCTACACCGTGCTTTCCTCCCGCACGATGTGTCCGTGTGTGCTATCCTTTGGTGTCTCCACGAGCTGGTCTATAGAGTAACACTGTGGCACACCTCACACTGCAGTCGCAAGCGTCCATCGTGACATGGCCAACATAGGGTAAAAGGTCGGGTTGGCGCTCTGCGGCGTCCATTAGTTTGGTTTTATCTTCACCATGTTAGATCCTTTTGTCATGCCTTCTTCCACCTACGAGCATGAGTGCCAATTCATCGAGTGCATCTTCGTACCTTGGCTAGTTAGCCTGATGATTACTCACGTGGACACTGTACATCATGTATGCTAGAAATAGATTCTAAATGGTTTTCAAACAATTCTAACTGGTTTGAGGATATTTTCTAGCTGGTTTGGGGATAATGGGGGTAGATTGATTTTTGGATTGGAATTGTGCGTGGGTTGATCTGGTTCGTTTTTAATGGGTGGGCAAACAACATAATCAATAAATTCAATGTTAGAAGAATGGAATGGACTATCTATCCAAAATGTTATTTAATAGATTATTACATCTTATTATTAGGAAGGGTTGTAGCAAAGTTAGCATACGAAAGGATCGACGTTTTTTCATTGTGGGTAGGTAAGCTAGCTTAGCACTATTTCTAGTCAATATCTCATGGTATATTAGACCAGCTTCTCCAAACAAGGAAGTGATAGCACTTAGTTTGAATATGTAGGTTTGGTAGAACTTATTGGGTTGATAATAATCAAGTATCATTACTTTGTCAGCCCGAACCAAGAAATCCACTAGAAATGTTTTTAAAATAGACATTGTTCTCTCTTTTGTTAGCAAAAAGAAAAGAAGTGGAGTTTAAAATGAACGAAATAGTCAAACCAAAACTACTAAAGAAACGTATTGCAATAACGTAACTTAGGCTCGTAGAATATGGATCCTTTAGAATAATCTATTTGAGCAAAGGCCACTAGAAATGTTTTAAAAACAGATATTGTTCTCTCTTTTATTAGTAAAGAAATGGAAATAGTCAAACCAAAACTACTGAAGAAACACATTTCAATGACATAACTTAGGCTCGTAGAATATGGATCTTTTATAGAATAATCTATTTGAGCAAAGGAATATATACGCTGAATATGATTAGGATTTTCCTAGGGATATTGGAGCAGATCAAGGTTGAATTGGATTCGTATTCTCACTGAAAACGATTTGGTGTGGGTTCAGGTTTATGCCCGCTGGCAGGGCTATCCACTTGGCCCAATCCGCCTACTGCTCCTCCAGCTACTCCCATACTAGTCCCTGCAGCGTCGTCCGACACCGGGTGAGATGAGAGATCATTCGTTAGGTAACGTTTGGTCGAGAGACATGGTGGGATGGGACGGTTCCGTCTCAATTTTTAGGGGCGGGACGAGGGAGGAATGATCTTATTTGTTGTTTGAGTGAGAAGGGATGAAATGACACTATTTTCTATTTAGTTTTGGGACATTAAAAGTGGATGAGCCATGGCATGTAGGGCACACCATTCATCAGTTTTTTCTTTTTTTCTTTTTCTTCTTCCTTATAGTTTCTTCTTCGTTCTTCCGACACGAACCACTTTTTTTTTTTAAAAAAGACACGAACCAACGCTTGTGACCCCGCGGCCATCGAGCCGCTCGCCCGCGCACCCGTGGCCGTCGAGCCGCTCGCACCGCTACCCCGTGTCCGTCGAGTTGCTCGCCCGCACGCCGCTGCCACCCGTCGAGCCGCTCGCGATGGCTATCCCACTTTCCTTGACTCTTTGTCCGCTGGATTTCAAGGGATGGGAGTAAGCCGAATATACTCTAATGGCCCGTTCGCTAGTCTGAAACTTGGCTGAAACTGGCTAGTTGTGTGAGAGAAAAATACTGTAGCGGATTGTTGATGAACATTGTTTTGTGAGGAGGAGCAGCCGGCTGGTTTCTAGACCAGCGAATGGCGCCAATATTCCAGGTGGGATGACTCTAGCATGTTCGCTTGCTCGTATACGATCGTGGATTATAAAATTGGAAACAAGATTTTTCTCTCACCAAAACCATGCCGACAAGAATAATCCACGATATCGTTTACAAAACGAAACGGGAAAATAATGCGGCTTTTTGCCTGACTTTCACCCAAACAGCCTCAAAACCAGGGTCCAGTTTAGTTCCCTCTTAGAATGCTAAATTTTTTAAGATTCTTGTCATGAATCCCATTGAAGTATTAAATATAAATAAAAAATAAAACTAATTACACAATTTAGACGAAATCCACGAGACGAATCTTTTAAGTCTAATTAGACTATAATTGAATACTAATTATGAAGTAACAACGAAAAACGCTACAGTGTCATTTTATCAAATTTTTGGGCATCCAAACGGGCCAGGTCCATCCCGTCCCATCCCAGCCCACCGAATCCTTCCAACCAAACGCTACTTTGGAAATTTCTCAACACGACCGCACTTCCGTCTAGTTCGCTGTTGGCCAGCCGCATCGGCATCATCGCCGCCAGCGCCCATGGCAGCCGTCGCCCCCGTCGTCTCCGACCTCGTCGACTTCCTCAACGTGTCGCCCACCGCCTTTCACGCAGTTGGTACGCATCATCTGTTCCCCTTTCCCTTTTTTTTTTCCCTCGCGGAATTGATCTGAGCTGACTCCGTTGGGCTGTTGCTTCCATCGGGAGAAGACGAGGCGAAGCGGCGGCTGAAGGCGGTGGGGTTCGTGCAGCTGTTGGAGCGGGAGGAGTGGGCGGGTCTCGAGCCCGGGCGCAAGTACTTCTTCACACGCAACCACTCCACCATCGTTGCTTTCGCCATCGGCGCAAAGTGAGTGAGCTAGATCCGCTCCCCGTCCTCTTGTTCTCACCAGCCTTAAGTTCTTGAGAGCCTTAAATCCATACTTTCTACAGTAGTTAACAAAATATTCTGTACATATTGCGTTGACTTGTTTGTTATGTGGATTAATTGGCTAGCTTATGTGTTGATGTTTCACAGATATGTTGCTGGCAATGGGTTTCACATCATTGGTGCACACACCGACAGCCCTTGCCTCAAGCTCAAGCCCGTCTCCAAGGTATCAAGCCTCAACTCTTGCTCAGATGCTCACTGATTTCAGAGTACCTTGTGTCCTGTATTTTAATTTTTTATATGATAGCAGGTGTCTGTGTAATCAGTGATTCATGTCTTAACCAGGAACAGAAGTTGTTATTGAGTTGTAGGTGGTAGATGATGATGCACATTTTGATAAGTTACTGATAGTATCTTGCTTGTTTTGCAGGTAACCAAAGGAGGTTACCTTGAGGTTGGGGTTCAAACGTATGGTGGTGGATTGTGGTACACATGGTTCGACCGTGATCTTACTGTTGCTGGTAGGGTGATTATAAGGGAGATGAAGGATGGCGAGGTCTCTTATGCACACAAGCTTGTACGGGTACAAGAACCAATTATGAGGATACCTACTTTGGCTATTCACCTAGACAGGTTGGGACACAGTAAATTTCTATTGTGTTATGTCTCATTGTGTTACTATTTGTTGTTGTTGTTGTTGTAACAACAACAACAACATAGCCTTTCAGTCCCAAGTAAGTTGTGGTAGGCTAGAGTTGAAACCCACCAAGAGCCCCTAGTCACGGTTCAAGCACTTCAATAGCTGCTTTCCAAGCACTCCTATTTAAATATAGATCTCTAGGTATATCCCAAGCTTTCAAATCTCTTTTTATTGCCTCCCCCATGTCAATTTTGGTTTTCCTCTACCTCTCCTCATATTATTAACTTGGCTTAGGACTCCACAATGCACCGTTGCCTCTGGAGGTCTCCTTTGGATATGGCCAAACCACCTCAACCGATGTTGGACAAGCTTTTCTTCAATTGGTGCTACCTCTAGGCGATCACGTATATTATCGTTCCGAACTCGGTCCATTCTTGTGTGACCACAAATCCATCGCAACATACGCATTTCTGCAACACTCAGTTGGTAAACATATCGAATCTTTGTAGGCTAACATTCTGCTCCATACAACATAGCCGGTCTAATCGTCGTTCTATAAAACTTGCCTTTTAACTTTTGTGGTACCTTCTTGTCACAGAGAATGCCAAAAGCTTGTCGTCACTGGATCCACCCTGCTTTGATTCTATGGCTAACGCCCGCATCAATATCTCCATCCCTCTGTAGCATCGATCCCGAGATACCGAAAGGTATCCTTCTTAGGCACTACTTGACATTCCAAACTCACATCTCCCTCCTCCTGTGTAGCTCCGCCAAAGTCACATCTCATGTATTCGGTTTTAGTTCTGCTCAATCTAAAACCTTTAGACTCAAGGGTCTGCCGCCATAACTCTAGTTTCCTATTTACTCCCGCCTATCTTTCGTCCACTAACACTACATCATCAGCGAACAACATACACCAAGGGATATCCCTTGTATGTTCCTGGTAACCTCATCCATTACCAAGGCAAAGAGATACGGGCTTAAGGTTGACCCTTGATGAAGTCCAATTTTAATCGGGAAGTAATCTGTGTTACCATCGTTTGTTCGAACACTAGTCACAACATTGTTGTACATGTCCTTGATGAGGGTCACGTACTTTGATGGGACTTTATGTTTGTCCAAAGCCCACCACATAACATTTATTATTATTGTTGTTGTTGTTATTGTTATTATCTTATATTATTATTGCAACCATTTGTGATAGTACAATCAATCCTATAGGTTGTAGGCTCCCTTGAAAGTGTGGCCTGTTACAGTGACACTAAATAATTTAATACATTATGTACAGGACTCTCAACTCAGAAGGTCTCAAGCTTAACAATCAGAGTCATCTTGTTCCAGTGCTGGCTACATGTATCAAGGTGATTTGAATGCATTGATTTGTTTGTTGGTTGAAAAGACAATTTTGTATAGCATGGGCAACTTTTCCTGAATAATTGATTTGCAACAAATCAATTGAGCGTACATCTTTTGATGCTGAAGGTAAACTCATACTATCATTTTACAGAATGAAATGCAGAAATTTGTAGCAGAAAATGGCCCAAAGCAAGCATCCGAGAATGTGAACACAAAGCATCATCCATTACTATTGCAGGTACTTTTTTGGCATTGTAGTTCAACTCCACCAGAGGTTCTCACATATAATATAAAAACTAAATATTAAGAGTCCTTGGGTTCTGAAGTATGTTCCACACTTCCACTTCCACTGATGTTAATTTTTTGTCGCAGTTGATTGCTAAAGAAGCTAACTGTGAGCCTGATGAGATATGTGACTTTGAACTGCAACTATGTGATACTCAACCAAGTGCTGTAGCAGGTGCCATGAAAGAGTTCATCTTTTCAGGAAGGCTTGACAATCTTTGCATGTCATTTTGTTCATTGAAGGTTTGTCTTTACTATTTTAGTTACCTATAGCTACCACATCTTGTGATTTCTTGGTGTCATTGTTCTATATAAAGTGTCAATTTAGAGCTAGCTACTTGCAGTTGCACCAATGGTATGTTTTGAGCAAATTTTCTAGGGGAAAAATATATAATCTTACATGTAGGAAAGAAGATATTTGGTTTATACCTATAGCTACCATTCTGTTTAAAAAATACTAACTGTGAATGTTATCAAATGTGCTAGCCATAGTTTAATACTTTTATATACTTAGTAACATCCTCTCTTTTGGATAAGAAATCTCTCTATAAGATTAATCGTTCCATGATACTTGTATGATTCTGAGTGTTCTAACATCGCATGGACTTTCAAGTCCGTATTGCCAAGAGCATTTTCTTTTTAGTAACAAAATCCTAATTAATGGCATTTTTTTTGCAATAAAATCATAATAACAATTATTTCTCTAATACTATTTCAGGCCCTAATCGACTCCAGTTCTGTTGAACACTCTCTTGACCATGAATCTGGTGTGCGAATGGTAGCTCTATTTGACCATGAAGAAGTTGGGTCTGATTCTGCTCAGGGAGCTGGTTCCCCTGCCATGTTGGATGCTTTGTCAAGAATCACTGGGTCTTTTAACTCTTCAAATTCCAAGGTACTTAGTAATGTGTGTTCAACCTTTCAGAATTGTTATCCTTTGTTTTGTCCTACCACATTATTTGCAGTTTTTTATATAATAAGTTAGTTTCCAAGTTGTAATAGAAAATGGCAAACTGTTTTTTTTTTATCTTTTCAGTTGCTAGAAAAAGCTATTCAGAGGAGCTTTCTGGTGTCTGCTGACATGGCACATGCTTTACACCCCAATTATATGGTAAGAATTATCTAACATTTTACATATAGGCATCGAGATATAAATACAATTCTGAATCATTTTGTGATCTACTTTTCCAGGACAAGCATGAGGAGAACCACCAACCAAAATTGCATGGAGGACTTGTAATCAAGCATAATGCCAATCAACGATATGCTACAAATGCTGTGACAGCATTTATTTTCCGAGAAATTGCTGAGAGACACCAACTACCTATACAGGTTAGTTGATACAGAAAGGACCCCTTATAATAATTGTGAATTACTAATGGTTACTCCAACTTATGGTTTGTACTCTGACATTTTTCCTTATAGTTCTGATCTATATTAATTTGTTTTTATAATAAGCAATCCATTTATTGATCTACAATTGTTATAAGGATGAACATAAGCCTTATGAGCTAATTTTGCAGTCGGAGATGTAACTGAGTTCCCAATGCATCCATACCATCCACATCTAGAGTTAATGATTATGATGTGTGTTCCTAGTGTTTATCTTTCGTTGTTAAGTTTTTTTCATCTTTTTTTTGGGTGACCTTGCTGTTGAGCTTAGGCTGATCTAATGAACTAAGTTTTAGAAGATTGGTTCTTAGGTTTTATTTTATTTGTCTATATATGCTTCTCTCTCATGAGAGACTGGTATCTTGTAGGAACATTGACCATGGGATGTTTTTCTACTTTATGCTCCATCTAAACATTTTGTTTCACATCATTGTCTTTATTAATGTGAATTCAGACAATGCTCTGAGTTTCAAGTTTTTATTATTTGTGTATATTTATTGCTTTTTAGTCTATAAATCAATTTTGCTTGATGCATTGGCAGAATCTTATTCATTTTCCAAATATGCAGGATTTTGTTGTTCGCAATGACATGGCTTGTGGTTCAACAATTGGCCCAATACTCGCTAGTGGTGTTGGTGTTCGCACTGTTGATATTGGAGCACCCCAATTATCAATGCACAGCATCAGAGAAATGTGTGCCGTTGACGATATTAGCCACGCATATGAGCATTTCAAGGCATATTATGAAGAATTTACTGAATTGGATAGCAAGGTCAAAGTGGATTACTAAAGCATTGAGCACAATAGGTTAACCTTTGTTACAAGCTGTACTTGTATACAAATTTGATAAACAAGTGGAGAACAAATTTGGGAGAATGTGTTAGCTGTGCGTGCTTTGCACCACGTTCTAAATTTTACCTATTTATCTGACCCAAATACCCACATGTTTGAAATTCTTTTGGTGAACGGCTTCCTATCATGAAAATGCACTAGACTATAAAATGGCTTCACAAAGAGTCAGTTCTTTGTGACCAAGAGGAGACTGGTGCAACATTTTCTTACCAGCTGTGTTTTTTCTAGGCAATTTTGGCATAATTTGCTGGCCCCTATTGGCCTCCAACGCACTTCACCTAGATGCCATGAGTGATTCGCCGACTAGTGGACAAAAGCTAGAATTGGAAGGCCTTAAAGAAAAAGGTTTCAATAGTGTTGTGATCTTGGGAGCTTGACCCTATGAAATCTCAGGAATGCCTTTGCTGGCAACTCTCTATCATTGCTGGCTGCCCAACTTCTTTTAACGAAGAGCTGCAGATGTGGTGTGTTGCTGGAGTACGGAAATTTCAGGAAAATGTTCTTTGGTCGTGTTGAGGTTGTAGGGTTATCTGTCATCATGATCGGGTCATGCTGTTGTATTTGTTTCAGGTAATAAGCCAATGCATTTTTATTGCAACCTTCTTTTATCTCCTACAGACTACAGTAGTGATGCGAGCGGGAACTACATTGGTCTTCATTGTTGTTTGCCTCGCTTGCCATCTTTGTTGATTGCCTCGTTTGCCATCCCCACTCCCCAGGCAATCAGCCATTGGGTTTTGGGCTGTGCTACATATTCACTCTTCAGCAATCTTATTCAAGTCGTGACATTATCAATTGTGCAACAGTTTTTTATTAAGAAGTTTCTCAAGTTGTACATCTACTCAAAATAATAAGCATGAGTACAACCGCACTAGCTACCCCAACACGAATAAACATCACTACGAGTTCAGAATCATACAACTTAGAAACGTTTATTTGACATCGTAGCACATCGATACTTCCACTCAACATAGCAAGGTACTGGGCAAACAGAACAGCTAGGTATTTTCCCGATTATCATAGCCAGTCACATAGCATTGATGAAAGAACTGGAACATGGTTAGCATTGCTGTAATCATCTCAGCATTGTACTGCAAACAGCTTCCCTCATTCGAAACAGAGATTATTCAGACAGTTCCCGAGCTTGCCAAAGCGGTGACAACATTGTGCATTCACACAAAAAGGACACTCCATGATGTTGGCGTAAGTAAAATTTTGAAGAAACCCAGACAAAGAGATTTTGGTACATGTCATGCTTAACCTAAGAGTGGACACTTCATCATGAGGGCTTTCTCTGCGGGCAGATTTGCCACCAAGCCCTTCTTGGAGTAATAGTCAATCACCTGGGACAAACCAATTGTTTTCAAATTCGGAACAATATTGATCTAAAAAAATTACAGAGATACACAAATTGATTCTCATGACGTAAATCAGAACTATGAATAAAAAGTTGAGAGCCCAAAAGACTTATGTGATCACAAAAAACATATCTGAATGAAAAACTATAATAAAGGACATAAAAAAAACACATATCAAACAGGGCCCACCAAATCGTTGAACTTTATGCAGCACTGCTATGACATAATTGATGATATAAATATTTAAATGGAAGGAAATCATCAATTCTTAAACAACAGAACCAATTTTTAGAAGGTAAGACACTAAATAACGTTAATATATACATATATAGTGGTACAAGATATTTTTTCAGAAAAATGATTCTTTTAAAGAATAACATACAGGCTCGGTTTGTCGTGGAAGGCTTCAAGCCTTGACTTCAAAACCTCGGCTGTGTCATCTCTCCTTTGAATCAATGGCTCTCCAGTTACCTTTGTGAAAAAGAAGAGCAAATACACAACAGATGATAAATATATTCTGGATAAAGTCACATAAACTTTCGTGATTAATAGCTGAATACAAGAGAAGGCAGAAGTGCTTTCAATAATGCAGTTTTTTCTCCTTGCTGCAAAAAAGATAGCAATAACTGTAGAATGTATCTATGTGCATTTTTCATGAGCATGGTTTTCCTTGAGGGAGAAACAGGGTGCAGAAAGAGGCTGCACCACTGCTTAAACTAACCAGTACATCATGCAAGCAGAAATAATAGCATCCACAAGCAGAGATAATAGCATCCACGAGCAGACTCAAACCATAACAGTATGCCAATATTCACTCAGCCATTTCTTCTTAATACAATGACATGCAGCTCTCCTGCGTGTTTCACCCAGCCATAATTGTCAAGATGCGATTACTCTAATTTATTATCTAACAGATTGAAAAGTTATGCCACATGAAGCTGAGTGGAAAACTTGAACAACATACACGGTAAAATACTGAATCGATCCACACTAAGACTAGAAGAAAGTAGAAGCAATACAAATAAGATCATGCATACATAAAATAAGCGGCTAAACTAAATGCTCTGTACTTGACTTACATCATCAACTCCTGGAGACTTTGGAGGTGCAAATTTTGTATGGTAAGTCCTACCACTGGCTGGGTGGATCCAACGACCAGTAATCCGTTCTTCCAATATAGCATCATCAATTGCAAAGTTCAGGACCTTGTCAACATTAGCACCTTGCTTTGCCAACATCTCATCGAGCTGTACAAGATGTCCAAAAAAAACAGCTACAAGAATATGATATAGGAATGTTTCTTCGCTGATGCATCAATCGAGCATATGACCTTCTGTGCTTGAGTGACAGTTCTAGGGAAGCCATCAAGAATGAAACCTTTCTGGCATGAGGGTTTCTTCATAGCTTCATCAATAAGCCCCACAACCAAGCCATCTGAAACAAGCTCCCCCTAAAAGAGGAAGGACAATGGAGTCACAAAGAAACACTTCTGCTGGTTAGCATTTCTCTTACATGTTTTGGTCTGCTAACATTACCTTATCCATAGCTTCTTTAGCTTTGATACCTAGAGGTGTCTTGGCCACCACAGCAGCCCTCAGCATATCACCAGTGGCTAAATGGCACAGGCAATATTCATCCTTAATAAGGGGAGACTGAGTACCCTTTCCAGAGCCAGGTGGGCCTACAAGATTAGTAAAAGGGGTGCCAAATTCTCCAAATCAGGAGCACTATAGAATAAAAATCAAAAGTCAACATGTTGTGAATGAGGAAACAAAAAGGCACTATGACATTACATCTTCCTATACAACACTACCCTACCAGAATAATATATTAAGTCAAACAGCATGACAAGGAACAAGGCTACCATGAAAAAAGTACACCAAATAGCAGACACACCATACAATGCAATTTACTTGTGTTCAGTGTCACAGTCTAGTATCATTTTGTTAAAAACATCTCCAAGAGCTCCTTAAAACTCCCTAATCAGCCCTCCAACAGTTTTGTATCTGAACTCCCTAAAGATAAGCACTTGGTAAATCTACCCCCTCAACTCACAAATATACACGTGGGTTCCGCGCTTGCTATCTGTCCAAGGGCACTCCATCCGCTGCAGTTTTCCTCCTGTCCTGCCTGGCTTTTGAGTTTCATTACAAAGCTAAACTATTGGACGAAAGGCAAAAATAGAGCTCCCTATTTATTTTATTCACTTCACATAATCATTGGTTTACCAAGTAATTTTTAAGGAGCTTCGGAGATGGCAGGTAATTTTTTTTGCGATGTAAATGCATAATCATTAGCAACAAAAACTAAAAGTATAGTTGCATAAGGTTTGGATGACAATAAATATTGAGTGGACCCAATGTTAGAAAGGGGACAGGTCAGACTAGCATTTGTCGAGATCTACATCTCTACGCGCATGCACAAAGTTGCACCCATATCTTATCGTCATGGAAGAAAAGGCTTCCAGTTCCACACCAGGCCAAGAAGACTACAATTATCCTGCAATCCTTTGAATTATACACTACGACAAAATCACCAAAACCAAACAGCAGGAGACATCAGCGACCTGAATGTTCAGAACTCATCTACAAGTGCATGATCAATTGTGAATTTTTCGGTATGTTAAGAAATCGCAGACAATCCAGTATGCAAAACGCAGCCATGTTTCTTCGTCACAAATGCAAGAAGTGAAATAGGAAAATAACCAAGATTAGAGAGTAGAGACACGAATCACACCTAAACCATTGCGTCGTCGTCGTTCCAGCAGCAGCCCAGAGTTGGAACCCCCACGCACGCAACACCGTCGTCGGACTCTTCCCGTTGCGGCGGCGGCGGAGATGGCGGCGAATCTAGAGGACGTGCCGTCTCTGGATCTGATGCACGAGCTGCTCCGCCGGATGAAGTGCAGCTCCAAGCCCGACAAAGACTGTTCGCTTCCTCAGTAAACGATCGTCCAGCCGAGAACAGTGTTTTTCTCTCCCACCAAACCAGCCAGCAATAAATAATCCACGATACGATACGGCGTCCCGAACATGAAGCACCTCATCCTCGTCGGTACGGGAGGCCCTCCCCTTCTTCCTCCGCCTCGCCGCCGGCGGCGGCGGCGGCTCCGCGCTGTTCCTCGCGGTTCGCTCTCTGGATCCGCCGTACTTCCCGTTGTGTTAGCTGAGCGGCGCGTAAGTGTTTCCTTTTGTGTTTGGTGAGCCAAGCATGGTACGAAATTTCTCCGGAGCAGGAGCAGGAGCAGGAGTCTTCCCTTTGAGATGCAGAGCTTTGAGATTTTAGAAGTTTATTATTTTAGAAGTTTATTATACTGTATAGGGTTTTGTTTTGGGGTCATTGGTTATTTTAGATAATACTAAAAAAACAAGATAGAGTGAGATACAGAAGTGTAAAAAAAAGGAGAAAATCGATTCGTCGTACGGAACATGAGTCCCTAATTCTGAATCTAACAGATTTGTTGTGATGGGAGCTCGGATTTTCTTTTCTTTTTTTTTTGCGTAAAGGGAACTCGGGTTTTCAAGCACATTATATTCGTTCTTTTCTAAACAAAAAAAGCCAAGTTTGAAACATCGTGCCCGGACGACCGGATGGACAGGGCGTCCCGATGTTCGTGCCTGTAGTACTTTTTCTGCACTGTTTCGCGCGTCCACGCAAGGCCCACACCATCCCGAATGGCACTAGCATTGAGAAGATGGGCAGAGAGGCGGTGGATGTCCAGCCAGCGCCGGAGGATGAGGGGACACCGAGGTGAGGCGGTAGAAGACGAGAAGGGAGATGCAACACCCAATTTAATTATGAAACATTCAAATGTAACACTTGCAATATACGTCTAAAGGCAGACGAAGCATTTAAAACATGCATCTAAAACACTTACAAAAACACTAAGAAAACACTTGAAACAATTATAAAAACATACACAACATTTAGATAAAACACTTGTAATATATGTGTGAAACATATGCAACATCCAAATAAACACTCTTACAACATACGTCTGGAAAACAGATAAAACATTAGGAACAGAAGCTTGCATACATGTACAATATTCATATGAAACACTTACATCATATCTATGAAACATCTAAAATACTTGAAACATAGGTTTGCAACATGTGCTTTCAGCGTAGCATCTACTTGCTGCTTGGACGAATGGAGGCTCATGGACGAATGGAGGCTCATGGACGAATGGAGGCTCATCAACGCGGAGCTCGATGCCATGGAGTACCGCGGAGGGAGGCCAGCGGGTGGTTGTGCGGCCCTGGCGAGCGGCTATGCGGCCACCGACGAGCTGCTACGCAGATTCAAGCCATACTGGGACAAAAGAAGATGTCGCATAGGTCCCACCGTCATCGAACCATCTGTCGCCCCGCCCATCTTTTGCCACGCTCTCCGACGGTTACGCATCTTCGGCTTGTTCGGTTGGCTGGTTCGTTTATGTGAGATAGAAGTACTGCTGGCTGGTTCTGATAAGCCCAGCTCCAGCCAGCCAGCCCAGCGATCACGCTGCTTGAGCACGGGCGCGAGTCGCGAGGCGAGTCCTTTCGCCATCGCGCCGTAGGCAACGTCTGCCACCAATCTTGGTGGTTCAGGCGCTGGCATCGATGGGAGGAGAAGCAGCATAGAAGAAGATAATGTTGTGTTTGCGAAACGAGAGCAGGGGAGAGGATAAGACTATGCTGGATCCATAGGAAGGAAGTGGCAGATAAGCATGGTGTGAGATTTTTTTTTGTTCATAGTAAGCTATCCGATTCTGATTGGACGTCGGACGCCCTAAGCGTAGCATTCTCGGGTTTTTATTAAGGCGCCACCTTGGGCACGGCCTTCCTGGAGGCTAGTGGGGAGCCAGGGTTCGAACCCGGACCGGCAGCTCCACCCATGAAGACTTTGCCAGCTGTTCTAGGCACTCTTCTCAGCATTCTCTTTTTTCATTGGGTGTAAAAAACCAAATACCCTCTCCGTCTCAAAATAAGTACACGTCTTGCATCCTGATTAGTCAATTAATTTTAATTTAACTAGATTTATAGAAAATAGTATTGATATTTCACATTTGTATTTCAAAATAAATTTTCAATAAAAATATATAACGTGATTAATCTAGCGATGTTTATTTGACATTATAAATATATTAGTATATTTCTGTATATATTTAGTAAAACTTGAGTTTGATTAAGTTCTGGGATACAAGATGAACACTTATTTTGAAACAGAGAGTATGTTGCCTTTGCTTTTGGAATCAACCGCAGTCTGCAGACCATATAACGTGAATCAAGTTACAATAAGCTTACTCAATGGGAAACCTCAGTACGTAGGGATGAAAACAGTATGATAATATCCCGTACCGAACCGTATCGTTTTCTACATTTAATCCGATCGAATTCGTCTTTTCAGATAAATTTGAATTCGGTTCAAAATTTGGAACACCAAATTCGAAATCGGAACGAAAACGGTTTTAACATTTTTCGGACCATTTTCTACTTTTCTACTTTTAATTCAGAATATTCCGAATTCAAAATTCGGTTTCGAAATTCGGTTTCACTAGAAGTCCAGCCTTAAAAAATTGTATTTTTTCATACGATCTCGGATGAAGATGATTTTTATATGAAAATTGTAGCTCTCGACGAGATCTACAACTTTCTAGTTTTTAGTTTTTTCATTAAGATATTCAAAAAAATTAAACAAAGTTTCAGCGGTATATTAATTGAGGACTAAGTGGTTGATGCCTTAGAAAATTCATATCTTTCTTTCATGGTGTCGAATAGAGATACTGTTTAAGAAAGTTGTAGAATTTGTTAATTATTCTTCACTTATTAATTGTTATGCACTTGGTCCTACGGGTTAATATTTTGTATTGATTTTTCATATACCGACCGTGTTCGACATAATTCCGCTCGAATTAGTTCGTTTTCGAAATTCTCAATATTTCGTAAGTTCGTGTTCGCTTTCGTTTTCGTATTCAAATGTAGAAGTAGAAAATGGTTGAGAGGTTTTCCAACCGTTTTCATCCCTATGTACGCACTGGGTCTTGCTGCTATTTGCTAGACAATCTCGCGCACGAGAAACTATCTGCTGCGAAGACAAACGCGTCAAATCCTTGATTGAGATCATCTGTATGATATGTTCTTTCCTCGTCTATTCGGCAGGTTTGCAGAAGTCTTACTGTAGAAGCAGATGGTGAACTTATCAGCCTGTTTTATCGACCATGGTACAAGTATTTTTTCTCACGAGAAATTAGCCAACAATACTTTTTCATCGACTTTTCGGTGACTATCTTTGGATCCATAGGAAGGAAGTGGCAGATAAGCATGGTGTGAGATTTTTTTTTGTTCATAGTAAGCTGTCCGATTCTGTTTGGACGTCGGACGCCCTAAGCGTAGCATTCTCGGGTTTTTATTAAGGCGCCACCTTGGGCACGGCCTTCCTGGAGGCTAGTGGGCAGCCGGGTTCGAACCCCGGACCGGCAGCTCCACCCTTGAAGACTTTGCCAGCTGTTCTAGACACTCTTCCCAGCATTCTCTTTTTTCATTGGGTGTAAAAAACCAAATACCCTCTCTGTCTCAAAATAAGTACACGTCTTGCATCCTGAGTAGTCAATTAATTTTAATTTAATTAGATTTATAGAAAATAGTATTGATATTTCACATTTGTATTTCAAAATAAATTTTCTATAAAAATATATAACGTGATTAATCTAGCGATGTTTATTTGACATTATAAATATATTAGTATATTTCTGTATATATTTAGTTAAACTTGAGTTTGATTAAGTTCTGGGATACAAGATGAACACTTATTTTGGAACAGAGAGTATGTTGCCTTTGCTTTTGGAATCAACTGCAGTCTGCAGACCTTGTAACGTGAATCAAGTTACAATAAGCTTACTCAATGGGAAACCTGAGCACGTAGGGATGAAAACAGTATGGTAATATCCCGTACCGAATCGCATCGTTTTCTACATTTAATCCGATCCAATTCGTATTTTCAGATAAATTTGAATTCGGTTCGAAATTTGGAACACCAAATTCAAAATCGGAACGAAAACGGTTTTGACATTTTTCAGACCATTTTCTACTTTTCTACTTTTAATTCAGAATATCCCGAATT